TAGCTCTAAAAGGTATTTTAAATATTTTAAAATTTTGACATGCACATAGTCCAAAAATGTCTGAAATGAATAAACTGACTTTTCTATGTGTTCTCTATGACCAAGTCCAGGGGAAAAATGTTTAAATAATGAATATAAATGTTTGAAAATCAATTTTGTGGCTCCACTAGACTAAATTTCATAAATGATCAGAGTTAGTTAACGATTCTCATGAGTATGGAGCTCAGTTACGACGCGGTGTATTTTACTGCTGCCTGGATTTCTGTCTGAGGACTTGCCTGGTATTTGCCAGTTGCGTGGCTGTGGTTTTCTGCTGCTGTTGTAACAAGGAAGTAGGTAGGCACATAAGGGGATGGACTGATGGTGATGATAATGACAATGAAGGTATGTTTAATTTTTTATGCTCTTCGAAGATTCTAGTTCTTGCCCTTTTCCAACTGCCTTCCCCCCCTAACATTTAAAGAATGCAAGTCCTCTTTAGACTGAATTAAATGCTAAATGCAAACTAGAAAGCGGAGCCGACCGCCCCAGCCCTGCACCTCCTGCGGCAGACACTGCTGAGAGCTGCTCTGCTCTCCTCACTGTTTATGTGACTGCAGCGTCACTTTCACTGCCCCCTGGTCTGAGAGCCCTGACTGCTAGAGCACGTCAGGTTCTGTCGACATTAACATGAACCTTGTGAAACTGAAACTGGAATAAGAAAGACCTTCATGGGAAAAGACTGTAAATATTTTGTAGGAGTGTGAGATTAAACTTTCTTTATAAAATGATGCTTTAAACCTCATTTTCCTCTAAAGACTTGGTTTTCTTTTCAGTGACCCGACTACAGAGGGCACTTATTTTAAACAGATCTAATTAATCTATGAAGATGAGAGAAGCAAAACTGAGCATATTTAACGAAAACCCAAAGCTAAAACTTATCCCATTATGAGGAATATGAATATATATTAGCAATATTTTATCATAAAATGAAGATATAATATCTTCCTTTGAGAACTGAAATAGCAAGCAAATAAAAGTAATTTCATTCAGGGAAATAAATGCATGCCTGAAATTAATTAATTCAGTATCTCACATGAAAAAACCACCAAATGAGTCACCAAATCAAAGGACTAAATACACTAACAAGAACGTGCCCCCATCCCATTACAGAGAAAACACCCCTCTGAGGTGTGGGAGAGGGTTAGACGGGGCTACCGAAAAACCCCACTGTGAAGCCAAACTTGCCTCCCTCGCCAGCCTGCCTCGCCCCGGCCCACACACTGAGGGTGTGGAGTAAAGGGCGCCTCCTGACCCGGCGGGCGGGCGGTGGTCTGTGCCCGTGAGAAGAGCCCCCACAGTGTTAAGGCAAGGAGGTCATCAGCTCATCTCTCTGCAGGCCTGTAATTTTAGCGTCTGCAGGAAGGTGACAAGCTCCACCTGGGGACAACAGAACCACGGCGTCCCCAGTGGAACAGTTCACCTGTCTCTTTACTCTGTTCTCTCTGGGAAAATAACAATCTGGGAAGAGCTGAGCTCCAGGCTTTTCCACTGGCTCCCTTGCTCCCTCTGTGCGGAGGGACAGAAGGGGCACGTCTGCATGGAAAACACCAAGTTCTCTCATCTGACCCTTAGATCAGCTCAGTGCAACCTCATTCCGGGCTCTGTACTGTCACTACACGGGGTGAGAGGTCCCCGGCTCCTCACCTGCGTTCACAGTGCGCTGGGTGTGTTCTCCCAGGATGTGAGACAGGCGCCCTCCTCCCTGAGTGGATGCTCAGGTGAAGCACGTGGTTCCTGGGCGGTCCTGTCCTTACCTTCCATGATCTCTGTTCAGTCAGTTTCAGATTCAAAGTCTCAGGTTCAACGACGTGACAGAATCCCCATGGCCACAGGTGAAGGCAGCAAAACCCTCTGCGGAGCCCATGTCTTTCCTTTTCCAGGACTTCCTGAAGGGGCCCCCAAGTGTGATAAAAATGTCCACCCCCATGTTAATGAAGCCAGAGCCTTTCTGAGATGGGGCGCACATCTCTGAAAGAGCTAGGGACCTCCGCACTCTGTGACTGAGGCAGTGAGAAGCCCACTTCCTGATCCCTTTGGGGCAACAAACGTGAAATAGATCAGTCCGGCGTGGTGCTGACCAGCCAGGAGAGTTTCTGGCCAGAAAGGTGTCCCGAGATTCAGTCCGTAGAAGCAAAAACCCTACACAACTTGATCTTAAGTGGATTTTAACTTTTCTCTTTCAGTTAAATGCATTAGGAAGGGAACCAGAAAAAAGACAAAAGCTTCTGCCTACTCGAAGAAGTTGAAAAGGAAAAATAAAATGCCCAGGAAAAGAATGACTACGTACCTACCTAGGCTAAATGCATGCCGCTGATGTTTAGTATACCAAGTCTTCATTTGTAAGTGCCAGGAACCATCGCGTGTCTTTCAGTGGTGGGGGCTACCCCAGACCATGACGTATGGGACCTGCCACCCCCGCCTGCACTTGCTGCCTCTGATCAGAAATCGGGGCACTTCATCTGCAGTTGCTAATCAGACACACTGAGCAACACGTGGAAGCCATGTGTGGAAGGGGGTGGTAACCACACATGCCAACAGCAAAGTCCCCTCCCTCAGACAGGCGCCATCTAGCAGGCACGAGAGTCAGCTACATTTGGCTTTTTCTCATGCACCTGTCTGTAAGGAAGTAGTTAAAATCATGAGAAGCCTAGTTTTGCTTATTTCCCAAGGTTTGGAAAAAAGAAACTTTTTATGACTCTGATATTGACCACTGACAATTCCAAAGGTCAGATCTGGACATGAAAAAAAAATTCTTGGTTTCTCCTTTATTGTTTTTGCACTCTAGTTTTGATATTATTTTAACAATTCATTCTAGAGAATTAAAAACATAAAACCTACAGAATAACTTAACGACACCTTATTTACCCATTTCCAAGCCTCAATAACGACACCCCTCTGTCATCTGCATCTTCATCTACTCCACGCCTCCCCATCCCCGTCATCCCCACTTTACAGTTCACTTAGAGGCTTACATTTGTTGTTTAAATACACAAACCTAATCCATACAGTTTTGACAAATAGAAGCACCTGTGAAACCTACAGGCCAATCACAACACAGAATGTTTCCGTTTCCCCAGAAAGGTCACTCCTGTCCCTGCACAGTCAGTCCCTCCACATTCTAGAGAAATACCACATGATATCATGCATATGTGGACTCTAAAAAGAAAAGACAAATGAACTTATTTACGAAACAGGGACAGACCTGCAGACATAGAAAACAAACTTACGGTTACCGGAGGGGGTGGCGGGGGGAGAAGGGGGTGGGAAGGGATAAATTGGGAGTTCAAGATTTGCAGATACTAATACACGTAAAATAGATAAAGAACGAGTTTCTACTGTATAGCACAGGGAAGTATGTTCAACATCTTGTAGTAACTTACAGTGAAAAAGAACATGAAAATGAATATATGTAAGTTCATGTGTGACTGAAGCACTGTGCTGTACACCAGAAACTGACACAGCACTGTAAACTGACTGTACTTTGATAAATATATATACAATACGAAAAACAATAGATTCTGGAAGTCTCCCAAACGGTAAAGAATAAACATAATAAACAACTTGCCATGACTATATTTTAAAAAATAAGTAAACAATGGTCTTAAAACTACCGAAGTGTGATCAGAGACATGAAATTTCAGCAAACTTCAAACAGGCAAAATTCAAGGAAAAGCGTCCCTCGACAGATGATGATAAAACTGCTGAAACCCACAGAGCTTCTCAGCAGCAAGAACAGACAGCAAAAGACAGCGGGAAGCATCTTTAAATGCTACAGGAAAACAAAGAAGACCAAAATCTCGGTTCTGTATTTAGAAACAACATCCTTCAGGAATAAAGGTAAGAGGAATTAAATTTCAAAGTGAAACTGAGAGCATTATTTGCCAGCCAGTCTGCTCTACGAGGAGCGCTGAACTGCTTCACTCTGAAGGGCATGATCCCGAGAGAAAGGTGGTACCTCCTGAGTCAAAGGAGGGCACAGAAATGATAAGTAGCCGGGTGCCAGGAAAGACTACCTTTGTTTTTTCACAGATCTTCATTAAAATACACAGAACCCTTTAAGCAAAACACGTAACGCAGACCACTGGGAGTTCCACTATGTGTACCACATACGACAGTAATGGCTCTGTAATGAACCCAGTGGTGCTGAGGCTTTGAGAACCGACATGAAGTGCTACTCTGCTCATCCTAAACCGACTGGGAGAAATTAAGTACGTGCATGGCAATCCCCAGGACTGCAGCAAGTACAAGTGTTCAAAGCCATGTTGCTAAAATGCCCTTCGATAACAGAATATTAATATTATCCACATAATTCAAAAGAAAGCAGGAGGACAAAAAACACAGGCGACAAACAGGAAACAGGTAAGAAAATGACAGCTCTCTATCCAGCTGTATCCACAAGTATGTGAGCCATTAATAATCTCAACAATCCAAATAAATGTGAAGATTAAGAGTGATATTTTAAAGGTCCACATTATGTGTTTTCTAAACTAAGAAACTAAATACAGAGAGAGAGAGAGATACCTTGTAAAGAGTCTGCATAAGAAGGCTCAATTTAATGTCAGGTAAAACAGACACAGAGTTGAAGCATTTATTTTTTAAGAATTGGGATAAAATACATGAAACATAATGTTTAACATCTTAACGATCTTAAATGCATAGTACAGAAGCATGAAGTACATTAAACACACTCACAATGTTGGGCAAACATAAGCACCACGCGTCTCCAGGACCCTTTTCACTTCGAATAACTGAACCTCTGTCCCCATTAAACACAGCTCCCCACCCCCTCGCCCAGCCCCTGGCCCCCAGCATCCTCCCTTCTGCCTCTGTGAATCTGACTGCTCGAGGGACCTCGGGTCAGTGGAGTCACTCAGTACTCGTCCTTTTGTGACTGGCTTATTTCACTTAGAAAGAGAATCATGAGAGAAGAGAAACGGGAAACTCACCCTCACGCGGGACGCAGCTCCAAGCGCGGGTGCCCCCACCACTCGCCTGCTTCTGCCTACTTCTCGGAGTCCTCGGACAGCTGGTTTCTACTTTGTCCAGATTTTACCTGTAATTAGCAAGTGCAATGGTCACCATGGCAGAACTGGAACTTTCCCACTGCATTTTCATTTCAATTAAAAGATTTTTCATTTTATTTCCAGAATTTTCATATGGATCTAGTAGTGATGAAAGCTTTCCTTCCTAGTAGCTTGGACTTCAAATTAACAAATGTGTGTGATAAAGAATATGCATTCTCATGAGGAGGGTACAGCTCAGTGGGAGAGTGTGGGCTTAGCATGTACGAGGTCCTGGGTTCAATCCCCATTATCTCCATTAAAATAACTAGTAAATGAATAGATAGACCTAATTACCTGCCCACAAAACAAAACAAAACAAAACAAAACAAAACAAAAAGAATACGTGTTCTCTAGTTGTTCACCCTCAAGAGCAAGAAGGAAGCAAATAACAATTCATTCATAAAATATTCTCCAGAGTAAGATCAGCTATATTTGAGTGAAAATTTTAAATTTTCAGAACATTTAAACGTCAAATTTCTGATGAAATTAAAGAGGAAAGAACCACATATCTCCAAAAGTCCAGATCCTATAATAGAAGCATGAAAAAAATAAAAGAAGTAAAAGTGGGGCTTAAAACATGAGCAAAGATGAAAAGACTTTAGAAATCAATGAGATATATACGTATGAGGCAAGTTTCCCATTTCTCTTCTCTCCTGGGTTGTTTTTTTTTTTTTTAAATCTCAGGAATTGGCCTGGCGGTAGTAATAGAAACCAAGTCCACCTGGCCAGAGGGCACAGAAGAGGAGCCTTTGAGGGCCAGAGAGTGTGGGAGGGACTTCCAAAAGGGGCCCTAATGCCATGTATGTCCCTGAATGTGTCTCGTCCTAACCCCTGAACACATCTGGCTCACATCAAAAACAACAGGGTCCTTGACCCAACGCACAGAAGCTGAACCAAACAGGCTGACTGCCTTCTCCAGCAAAACAGCATCTCAAGAGGTAGAGACCAGGACTGGGAATATAACATTCACAGAGTCTAAATGTAATTTAAAATTATTCCATATACAACACATCCGGGAAATATGACCAATTTTAAGAGACAGACACAATCAACAGATGACAAACCTATATCATACGGATGTTGAATGTATTAGACATTTGTCATGTCATAAGGTCAGACTTCAAAAATGGATTTCATGAAAAGCATAGTATTACAGAAATAAGTGCAATTCTCTGTTTCAGCACAAGATGTTCGGTAGAGGGGGAAAGACTTCATTTTGTGAATTAGGACTCAAATTCATGTCCACTGACTGATGGCTGGATAAAGAAGATGTGGTATATTTATACAATGGAATACTACTTAGCCATAAAAAGAATAAAATAATGCCATTTGCAGCGACATGAGTGGACCTGGAGATTGTCAGTCTTAGTGAAGTAAGCCAGAAAAAGAAAGAAAAATACCATATGATATCACTTATATGTGGAATCTAAAAAAATGGACACAAATGAACTTATCTATAAAACAGAAACAGACCCACAGACATAGAGAACAAACTTCTGGTTACCAGGGGGGACAGGGTGTGGGAAGGGACAAACTGGGAGTTTGAAACTTGCACCTCTTGGGGAAGTGATGGAAATGTTAGTCATCTTGATTGTGGTGGTGGTTTCATAGGTGTAGACATTTATCAAAATTCATCAAATTGTACATCTGAAATATGTGTGGTTTACCATACAGGAACCATACCATAGAAAAGGTGTTTTTAAAAAAAAGACTCAATTCAATGCTCTTTCTCTTTATACCTAATGAAGTATTGCTGAATTACCATGTAAATTGAGAGACTCTAAGATGCACTTATACCCCACATTTCAACACTTCTGAATCATGATACATCTCATTTATAATCAATGAAATGATATCATTTAATTGGGAGGTTTTTTTCTTAAGGCTTCATGGTATATAAAATAACATTATATCTTATAATTTGTAACAATTCTGATTTGATAATTGTAGTGCATGACCCTCATAAAAAATATGCCCTTCTTAATTTGTTGTTTAAAAGAAAACTAAGATACTAAGAAAACAGGGAATGTAAGTTACACTCTGTTAAATTCCTATTCCATTCAAATGTATGGAATTTTTGTTCTGCTACCTGAATTACTTAATTTAACATGAAAAAAATTACAAACTTTACACTGAAGACATACAGTCTTTTCAGTTTTTATCTTTAGTTTGGTATCACATAATATGTTTTTAAAATATGTTTATATGAGTTCCACATTTTCCAAATTAATAAAATAACTAGGTTTGTACTCAGGGTAAATTCAGTGATCACAGGAAGGTTTTATTTCCAACGGTCTTCTCAGACTCTCCACCTGAACAAGGGTCACATGGCTTTAATTTGCATCTGTGAGCTCTGGCATGGTAAGGAACTTATGAACTTTAACACATTCTGATGAATTTAGTACATTAATAAGAGCAATGTAGATTGGTACAGCCACTATGGAAAATAATATGGACAGTCCTCAAAAAATTAAAAAACAGAACTACCATACAATCCAGCAAACCCACTTCTGGGTATTTGCCTGAAGAAAACAAAAACACTAATTTGAAAAGATAATCTGTACCCTCTTGTTCATTGTAGCATTATTTACAGTAGCCAAGATATGGGGGAAAATCTAAGCGTCCATCGATGGATGAATGGATACGAAAATGTGGTATACATAGATATATACAACGAAATATTATTCAGCCATAGAAAAGGATGAAATTTTGTCACTTGTGACAACAAGGATTGACTTTGAAAGCATTATGCTAAGTGAAATAAGTCAGACAGAGAATGACAAATACTGTATGATCTCACCTATATGTGGGATCTAAAAAACCCAACAGAACTCAAAAACAAAAAAGCAACACCCAAGACCTCAGCTCACAGATACAGAGAACAGACTGGTGATTACCAGGAGCAGGTGAGTGGGGTGGGTCAAAAGGTACAAACTTCCAGCTAAAGAGTAAATAAACCCAGGGGAGATGATGTAGAGCACGGTGACGACAGCTGTGATGGTGTGCTGCATATGTGACTCCTGCTAGGAGAACAGATCCTCAAAGTCCTCGTCACAGGAAAGAAAAATTTTTATAACTTTTGGTGACAGACGTTAACTAAACTCATCGTGGTGATCATTTTGCAATATATACAGAAAACAAATCATTATGTTGTCCACCTGAAACTAATATGTTACATGCTAATTATGACTCAATAAAAAATAAATATAAAAATACATTAATAAGTATGAAACCTCTGATGTCCATGAGGTCACTTAACAGCTAAAGGCTTTGTGACGTTACCTCATAAGGTGTCTCTCCTCTGTGCATTCTCTGTGGTTAATGAGGCATCTGAAGGCTCTTAAACACTGATTACATTAATAAGATTAATATACATTAGGCATTTTTACATATTAAATAAGTGATAAGTTATTTTGAAAGGTTTTTCCACATTAATTGCAGTTACGGATGATTCTTCTCTAGGATGAATTCTCTGGTTCCTAACAAGGGTCATTTATAGTTGAAGAAGCCAGGACACTGTTTGCTCCGACAGACTTCTTACAACTGCTGAACAAGAGTTGAGTTATACCTGAAGGATCTCCCACATTCATCACATTCATGGAGCTTCATGGATTGAAATGGTGTCCCCCCTCCCAAATTTAGAGGGTTTGTAATGGGTTGAATAGTAACCTCCAAAACTCACCCAGAACTTGAAAACATCATCCTATGTGGAAACAGAGTCTTTGAAGATGTAACTATTTAAGACAAAGTCATACTCGACTAGGGTGGGTCCTAACTCCGTCAACTGGGTTCCTTAGAAGAAGTGTAGAGGGGACACAGACACGCGCAGGGAAGGAGGGCCTGTGAGGACAGAGACACAGACTGGGTGACGTGCGACACTCAGAGAATGCCAAGGGCACCGGCAGCCACGAGAGCTGGGAGAGGGGCATGGAAGAGATGCCCTCTCCGCGCGTCAGAAGGAACCAACCCTCCCAACACCTGTTTTCCCACTTCTGATCTATCCGCTGAACTGCGAGAGAGTAAGCTGCTGTTTTTTGAAGCCACCCGGTTTGTGGCCATTTGTTAGGGCAACACTAGAGACCGACTGCGGGGCCTTCCTCTGGGGAATGATGGGGTGTGACGCCCTGAGAACGCTTTCCTACAGTCACTCCGGTGTTTATAAGGATTATCCTCTCTACAAATTTGGGATGGGTAAAGAGTTTTAACCCCTGGCACTGTGGCTTCTCGCGTTCATTAGAATCATAGGAATTCCTTCCAGGATGACCTCTCCGCTCACGGCGAAGCGGTATTTCCTAGTGGTGAAGGCCTCTGACGTTTATTTCCCTCACAGGACTCTCGCCACAATTAACCTCCTGCGGTTCTAGGAGGTTTGTTGTAACTCAAGGTGTTCCCACACCGACTGCGTTCCAAAAATCCTACCCCTGCATGGCTGGGTTGTTACAGAAGAATTTCCCATGCGCCTGGGGTTCCTAGGAGTTCATGCTGGCAACACGTGCTCACTCTGCTTTGCCTGAACTACATTAGAAATGTCCTCAATAGCACAGCGGTATTTTTCTTAGAGGAATCAGCTCTGAGCTCAGATGAAACTGGCTTCCAATTGTACTACATGTGTTTCCTTCCACCACAGTCAATGCTGTGTTGAAAATGAATGGAACTGGTTGAGATCCTCCCTTTTAATAAATAATACAAGTAACTATTCTTCGTGAATATCCTTACAATTGGCCTAGGCATATCCTTGGCCAGAGGTGTCCTGCTGTGTGTACGACATTCTGGTTTTGCAGGGAAGTACAAAGCTGACCCCATGTCAGATCTGTTCCTTCGACTCTAACCCTGTGCGCTGTTGCCCGTGCTTAGTCCTGCTGGTTCCGCACCTCTTGTAAAAGAATGTCGCCTGGAGCCTGAAATATACAGGAGAGCCCATTCTCCAGGCTCTGACCTGTAAGGGGAGAACTCTTTCCCATTTATGCAAAGATTAAAAAATTGCAG